TCTTAGTTAATGATAAACAAGCAACCCCTTCCTCCCCAAAATGGAAAAATAGCAGACTTCCAAATAAGTAACACATTTTATGACCTCAGTTGCTTTACTTGGACATATCAGTGAAAATGCAAAAGAAAGTAAAGTAAAACAAAATAAAATAAAAATCATTTAAACCATTCAAACAGGCCTAACATACCTTGTTTACTTGATTTGGGGAGGTCTTATATCATGATCTTTATTTGCACTGTCCTTAAAGAATTGCTGAATCCTGTGTTTCACACTCAAATTCACATGGGTTAGTTGATTTTGTTTGCCAGTGAATTCAAGCATGGATAGTTGGCTCTCTCTAGGTCAGTTTACTTTCCACAGAGATAAACTTTTCCACCGGCAAAGCCACGTCTCATTTAAGCCTGACCTTATGCCCTCTAAGTAATTATCTAACCAATTATTGACTTAACTAAAGGGAAAGTGCATAATGTCTAGCAAAATGTTTGTGCCTGAATTATGTATACTTGGTCCCTGACACCCCCTCCCCAAATCAGTTCACCTCAGGATTCTTCAAACTGGTCTCAAGATGCCTCCTCTGTCCTGTAGAGTTATTGAAAGTTAAGAGTAATAAAATCTCTTGAGGCTAAGGAGAAGCTTCTATACCTAAGTCCTTCTGCCTTCTCTAAGTGAAGGCGAGATCAGCCTGTCCTAAAGCTCCTAACTTTTCCATAATTGGTGAAACGTTGCTTCCCCTACATTTGAAGGAGCTCACCCAGTTGTAGGTTTACAAGTGAACATGTCCTTTCTATCTAAGAATCTTATCTTTCTTCTCCGAGTAAGACTGACAGAACCCCTTTTTGTCATGTGAAATCTCCCTTGGTGCAGTATCTCTTACTAATACTTTAGGTTCCTAAATACAGGATAAATATCCATGGTCAGCTCCATTATCCATTAGAATTTACAAGCAGGTAAAATCGATAGGTGTATTATTAAATTTTGTTTTTTTTACTCCTATGAATCTATTTGATGTTAATTTGCTGATTTGTTTAGTCTTAGAAGAACAATCCAGATGAAGTGGAGATATTTCCCCCTGTGGCCCAAGATTTCCATCTTATTTGAATATTAATGAAATGATCAGAACATACTATGATTATTGAGGAATAATAAAAAAGAATCTAGGGGCCTCCTGGTGGTACAGGGTTTAAAGTCTCAGTGCTTTCTCACCAGCTACTGCACCAAGCATTTGATCCCCTGACCAGGGAGCTGACCCATTTAGTGCAGACCTCTGCTGTCTCATCTGCTACTCCCCTCATCAGTCAATTCCCCGCTCTGTGTCTATTGACTCCTCTAACCCATCCCCGCACCTCTGGCCTACACCCCAGTTCTTATATGCATAAATAAATAAAAATAATATTTAAATAAGTAAATAAGAGAGCCTAAATAAATGTTTGTTCTCATCAAATATTATGTGCCTATTGCATGTCCTAGACACCTATTACATATATTGCACCGAGCAATAACTTCATAGGCAGCCACTTAAATAGGGAGGCAGGGAGATTGGAGAGCTAGAAAGGAAGCTCACCCATCAGATTTATTTTAAGGAGACTGAAGTCCAGAGAGTTTGTACTCCTCAGACCATGAAACAGTGTGGAACAGAGTAGAGCTCAGGGTGTGACAGGCAAAATCAAAACAGGAGTGTAAAGATACAGAGCGCAGTGCATTTTAAAATTTTCCAGTTTAAGAAATTTCATTGTTATCAGGCAAAAAGTCTAAAAACTCAATGGGTCAGGATGTCTCTCACTACTTCTGGGTCCAGCCATCTGCCACCACAAATGACAGCGAAAGGACCTTTGGTGTAGCAAAAGGAAAATCAGACAAACTTAACCAAGATGAGAGGGAGAAAGCCCAGTTACCCACTGAGGGCAGGAGAAGGAGCCTCAGCTGCTGGAGGTGGCAAGGCCCTGCAAATGTGAGGAGGCTCCTTCCCCTGTCTTTAGACCCCCACAGAGAGAGAGGGCTGAAAGGAGGGAGGCAGGAAGGACTTAAAAATACCCAGCGGGTCAGGGGCTACCATCCGCAGCAGCTCCAGTGCAAGAGGAAGCCCACATGCCTCCGCCCTTTCACGGCCCTTTAAAAAAGCCCCTCAGGGCCATCTCCATCCCAGCAGCCACTTTGCTCAGGATGTCAAGGACAGAGTTCAGAGTACAGCACTACACGTGTCCCATGTCCTCTCTGGACTTGAGTGGGTGGCGTTCAGTCCTGCACTGTGCTGCTGGTTTGCAGGTTCCAGGTGTGTGGTAGGGAGCAGAGTGGTTGTGCCCAGTCTGGAGGCTGTGCCAGCCACTCAGGAGCCGGAGTGCAGGGCCACTTCAACCGTGTTGTAATTTGCATTTAGTTATATAATTTCTGTCTTTGTAAATTGTTTGCTACAAGTTTTTAGTGTGGTCTTGGCTTTTATTACTTTCATTAGAAGCTTTGTGAGGCAGAAACCTTTACTAAACTAAAAGTTCATGTCAGCAAATAAAGTGGGTAAGAGAGGCCTGATTCATGGCTTTCAGTTTTTTTGGTTTCTAGGAAAATTGAAACATGATGAAAAAAATAGATAGGAATTTTCAATATTTTAAAGTTGCTAAATAATGAAAGTGATGTACTAGTAGAGAAGGGGGGAAAGAAGAAGTAAGTCATTGAATGGGTCCAGCATATGCTACTGTGGCTTTTTTTTGCACAGATTTTGCACCAAAGGCATTTTTGTTATTAAAAAAATGCACAATTGGGGGCCCTCACTTGTGGCGCAAGGGGTTAAAGCCCAGCACTATGAAGCTATCTGCAGCCGCAGTCACTTTCAGAATGATTTGATCCTTGGCTAGGGAGGTGACATACAAGGCACAGCAACCCTCTCCTGTCCCATGCGCTGCTCCCCTCAGCAGTGTGTTTCAGTCAATCTGCTCCCACCCTGTCTCGGGTTAATCCTCTCAGGCCCTGCACCCCTGGCTTGTGCTGTGTGCATAATAAATAAATCTTTTTAAAAATGCTCCAGTGTCATTAAGTTCCCACTCTATGAGCAACGAGGAAAGACAGAGTCTTGTGATGCCATGAGTGGTCTCTACAACACACCTGACAGACTATCACAGAAACAGTCGCAGTCCCAGCTATTTGCTTCAGACTCATTTATCTTTCCACAGAGTAGTTTGTTTGCCCTTTAGAGCCCTTTCTCCCTTTCCTTCTCTCGTCATTTGTTTTCCTAAAAGTGCTTTTCTCTCTCCTCCTTTTATTCGGATAGTGTATAAGCCTCATATTTGAAACTCTTTGAGTCACATCTTCTGTGGACTCTTGTATGTATATTAATAAAAATGTGTGATTTGATTTTGTATTTTTTTCTTGTTAGTCTCCCTCTTTTTCAGTTTAATTTGCAATGCCTAAGCATTGAACCTACGAGAGTAAAGAAAATTTCCTCATAGACCTATAAGCTCAGCGTCACTTAACACAATCATTTTCAATTTTGTATTTTTTCTTCAACAGCATTTGTTTTATAATTAAAATCATACTTGACATTATCATAGAAACAAGCATCCATAAAGCTAATGACTCTCCAAATTATGCTTTTCTAATGACTGCAAAGTATTTCACTAAGATGATATAGAAGTTCTTACTATTTGTCTACTATTCGATTTCTTCTGATTTTTTTAAATCATAAATAACTTGCAAAAGAAATCTTTGGGTATAAAACTCTTCTCCTTTTAGAGTTACTTCAGCAGGTTACTTATATAGAGACTGCCAGCTCAGTGTGAATAAATATGTTCTAGATGCACATTAAGTGCTCAGCTGTGCTCTTTAAATGCCCTCTGAAATGATTGCTCCAAGTGGCATGGCCCTCAGAAAGGGAATGTTGGCTTAAACATCTATTTCAGGCAGATTATAATTAGTGGTAAAGTAACAAAATATATTACATTCTTTTACAAATTAAATGACTTAAGTCTGAGATGAAATCATAAGTATAGGACATGAAAAAATGTAAAATCCATTTAGTGTCTGAAAAATGTGCAAACATGAGGATTATTCAGTAGGAGGAATTAAACTGAGTAATTTGAAACTCAGAGAAAGGTCCCTAGGTCTTTTACTTTCCCACTCACAAAACAATACTAGCGGATTAATTTAGCAAATAGTTTGTGAAAATTTGGGTGGAGTGAGTTTGCTTTCAGTGATAGGGTCAATTTAAGAAAGTAATTGTTGATAAAAGTTCCATTATCACACTCTCATTTGGTTTTCACTAGCTTTCATTTGGAGGAAAGAGTGAACTATAAGACAAAAAAGCAATTGCTGCTCAAGTTATCTGACCACCAAAGGAACAATTCAGTAGCTGAATCTGTTCTGGCTGCATTTAGTCATTTATCCTTCCCTAGCAGAGCCCAGGTACAATTATTCTAACAGGCAATTGATTATGAGATTTAAAAAATGCAGTAACAACAAATAAATGTTACTGTCTTTAAGAAGCACAAATTGTTCATCTTAAAAAGAGAGGAAAAAACCCAAATCACATTACTGTTCAATTTAGAACTTTCTCTCCACCTTGTAAGAGGGCAAAATCAATTTTCATCTGAGTACCATTTCCTCCTGCTAGTTTTCTCTACAGTGAGCTTTCCACAAATGATGTTTGACTATTTCTGGGTCACAATTACTTAACATCCACATTTGTGAGCTGTAATGATTTAGGTAAAAGCTGGAGGAAATCATGGAAAGTTCTTTGTGCCCTTCCACCCTTCCCCCAGCACCAACCTCAAATTCTCTCTCAGTGTTTAATCAGCAGCTGTACCAAACCCTCTTCGGGTCTTTCCTGAACACTCTGACAGGACCAAAGATAGAAGTCTGCACACAGTGCTTTCCTTAAACTAGAAGAAGAAATTTCCTTTTTTGCCAGCTGGTAGTTAGTCAAAATGCTGTTTTGTAAATAAATCATCTGCAGGAGTCTGCATCAGTTCTGCTGAAAGTGTCCGTTTTATGAAAACAAACAAACAAGCACTTACCAGTTACTTTTCTGTGAGGAGGAAAGCTATTTGATGCCTGGGTGTAACCTCCCGGCTCCAGAATGAAATGGAGGGTGATTTTCAGCCCGGCTTCGTTGTACTCTCTTTTTCCAGCCTCCTCATTTGGCTTTTGTCTGGCTTTTGAAATGACACTGTAGAGGAGAATGATGGGTTTTAAATGTGGTTCTTCCCTTCCTCCACCACCCTCCATAAAAATTCATCATGAATTCCAGGAGAAAAGTAAGCAATGAACATACTGTGTAAATTAATTCTTTTAAACTCAGCGATATGTGTGTGAAACCGGGGTTTGCTTTTGGAATGGAACTCACTGCTCCTGGCTGCCATGCAGCAGTCTGGAAAGCAGAAAGCCCGGAGGCACCAAGCCTTCCTTTGTCCGGGAAGGCTTTTGCTTATGAAAAGTCAAGTTAAATTAGCACCAGTGAAATGAAAAGAAGCTTATCCTGGAGTGGAGAGCTCTGAAGTGCAAGACCAACTACAGGGCTTTTTAAGAGAAACTTTATTTACTGGGTTTCAGCGTATTTCTGGTAGTGAGAAATCACAATCTCATTTGTATTTTAGTTTTTATTGCTTGAGTCAGATAGGCTGAGAGAGTACTTCCCAGCCTCCAGGAAATTAGAGATTTGGTTTTTATGCCACATCTTCCCTGTGGCCCTGGCAGGTGGGGGCGCATCTTTGTACCTGAGGCAGGACTCTGACTCAGAAGCGCCAGGTTAAGTGTGGACGTTGAAGGCAATAAGCAAGCCTTGATGTGGTTAACTCCCCATTGCAGGGCTAACTTGATTTTAGTAAAGTCTAACTTCAGCATGACTGTGTGTGATCCTAGCATTAAGCTGATTGAATGTTGACTATTAGGTGAACTGCCAAACCAGCTCCGGATCTTGTATTTGTCTGCTGTGAACGACTGAAAACTAATGGAAGGCGCCACCCTCGAAAATGACTCTGGCATAAGGATTATTTTGAACTGATTATTTTTGAAGAATTTCAGACTGACAGATACTGAAAACTGGGTCCAGGTTTCCCTTAGTAAGGGCAGTCTTCATTTATAAAGGAAATTTACTTTCAAGGGGAGACTGCACCAGGAAGAGGAAGCTAGTAAATAGAGCTCATACTTTCACCTAAGAAATTTACCAACCTGGTGGAGCAAACTTTGTTTACTAAATATTTCCTCTTCTCCCCTCCCCCCCTTTTGAAGCCACAGACCCTGCCCCTTTTCTGAGCCCAAGATGGAACTGAGTCATCTGGTTGCCTTTGAGTCACAACACATTGTGGAGTTCTATACAAATGTAATTATGATGATTATCTTTCTCCCCCCTCCTGATTATCTGTCTTTCATACAGGGAGTTCAGCAAAACAACAATGAAGAATAGAGGGAAAATAATTTTTCCTCCTCTATAAGTCCAAATCCAGAAAATCTAAAGCAGTAGATCTCACTGTGAGCAAATGGAATGACCCACGGTGTGGGATGGGCACTCTTTCACAGGCTGCAGTATTCATTAGCCCATGGGACGAACATTCTCCTACATTTGCCCCAGTTCTTTGACTCTATAGAAATAGCTCCTATTAATAACCCCAGCTTGTCCAGTCACCACTTCCCACATTTCTGCATCACCAATATTGGCATTTACTATCAGCTCTAAGCTGTTTTTCTCATCACACAAAAGCACTGTTTCATACACAAAAAGCATTTTAAGAATGTCCAGGGGTTTTGGTTTCTGGTGGTAGGAGTGTTGAGTAGCAAAGGATAGAAAAGAAAATGACAAAAAGTGACATTTAGCAAGTATTTACTATTAGCAAGCAGAGTTTAACTGAAACCCAGGATATTGTAAGTATTTTTAGTTTTACATTTTAGCTACCACCTAAAGCAAGAGTTGAAATACCTAGCTTTGAATTTAGCCCAAGGAAATCTCTATCCTCTAATGGGTCCTATATTTTGATATGCGTTAGAGATGCTCCTCTTAGATATTTTAAAACATGCCTTAGAGTTGATCAGTTACTCAAAAGTAATTGAAGATGAAACACTCAGCCATATTGGACATAGCTTAACCCACTCTCACCCCCAGCATACGATGGGTACAATGATCTTCTGCCAGGCCGTAGGGCCTGAGAGTATGTTCACTGGATATCTGTTAAGAAAGAGCCTTCACTGCGGGGATTACAATTGAGATGGAAAAAAAGAAAAAAAAAAAGAAAGAAAGAAAAAAAGAAAGAAAGAAAAAAATGTACAAAATGATGTAAAAATAAACTTTTGTAATAAAAAAAATTTAAAAAAAAGAAAGAGCCTTCACTGTAAGATGGAGAGTTGTTTCATCCCAGACATTCTGACTCCAAACAGCACACTTTTTTTTAAATAATATGATAGTTTATTTTTATATCATTTTGTGCATTTTTCCATCTCAGTTGTAATCCCTGTGGGCTTCCCATCACCAAAGCACCCATGTGCCATCACTGTAATCAAGTGCACTTCCCTCTGCCCACCGTTTTGGATCCCATTCCCCATTCTACCCCTGTGAATTGTCTCTGGTATATAGCTGTTCATTATTATTATTATTTTCTCACCTGGTCTGTTATACTCCTGCTATGAGTGAAACCATCCGGTATTTTTCCTTTTCTTTCTGGCTTACTTTACTAAGCATGATCTTTTCCAGCATTTTGGGCATTTGGGCTGTTTCCATGTCTTTCTAATTGTAAATAAAGCAGCAATAAACATGGGGGTGCAGATATCTTTTTGAATCAGTGTTTTTGTGTCTTTTGGGTAGATACCTAGGAGTGGGATTGCAGGGTCATATGAAGGTTACATTTGTAGCAGTTTGAGAAACTTCCAAACAGTTTCCACAGTGGTTGTACTAGTTTGCATTCCCACCAGCAGTGCAGGAGAGTTCCTTTTTCTCCACATCCTCGCCAACATTTGTTGTTGCTAATTGTTTGAAGATGAGCCATTCTCACTGGGGTGAGGTGGTATCTCATTGTAGTTTTAATTTGCATCTCCCTTAAAACAAGTGATGTTGAGGCCCTCCCTGGTGGCACAGTGGGTTCAAGCACAGCACAAAGAATCTTAAGCCACTTCCTCATGAGGTTCGATCCCCCGCCTGCCTTGGAGGAGATACACATGGCGAGGCAGACCTCTGTCTCTGGTGAATCCTCTCACCCTCCACATCTCTGGCCTGTACCCAGTTCTGTACGAATAAACAAATAAATCTTTAAAAAAAAACAAGTGATGTTGAACATTTATTTTATCATATGCTTGTTGGCCATTCCAAACAGCACACTCCTTTTTTTTTTTTTTAAAGATTTATTTACTTGTGCATACAGAACTGGGATACAAGCCAGAGGCTCAGGGGCGGTGAGAGGCTTCACCAGAGACAGAGTGGGGAGCAGAACAGGCAGATCTACGAAGTATACTGCTAAGGGGAGCAGCAGGTGGGTCACGAGAGGTCTGCTGCGCCATGTGGCCTCCTCAGGAGCAGGTGGGAATCGAACTCCTGGGAAGTGACTTTGGCTTCTCAGTGTTGTGCTTTTAACCCGCTGTGCCACCAGGGAGGGCCCCAAACAGCACACTCTTAAGAGACTTAACCGTTAGATTATCAGTCTCGAGATGTTTCCAAGAAGACAGTAAATGAGAAGAAAAGGGAGACATAATTTCTGCGGGGTCAGCTGAACACAGAAGAGAAGAGACACAGTGTCTCAACCATATTATTTTGGGGAACAGGATTTCCCCTTTTTTTTAAAAATAGCTTCACTCCACTGATGCTTAAAAGGTCACTTCTAGGAGAGTATTCTTACAAGTGACTACATATTAAAAGCAGAGATTTGTACTGATCTAAAGAAGCTCTAAGGATTCGAATGGACTGGGCAATTTTAAGCTGGTCACACCCCTTCCTCTCACCAAAAAACACAAGGGTTAGCAGCTTGGCCACTCATCTTTTGAATAATAAAGGATATTGTTATTTTTTTCCTTTCTTGTATGAGGTCAAAATAGCTATATTGCCCCAAACTCTAAATAGTCTTAATGACAGAGATTTCAGAAATGGATATTTAGGACATTACAATCAAGTCAAACTGATTTTGTTAATAATAATTTTTAATCATTTTGTTATGGTTTGTAAACAAACAAACAAAACAAAACCCAGCTAGAATATAATCACTGTATAGAGATTGCTTGCCAGTTGGAGAAGGGAGGGGGCTGCCTAAAGGAAACTAAATGCACAGAGGGGAGCAGGCAGCCCCCCACCCCAGCCTGCTGCCAGGGCTGATCAACAAACAGCCTGGGAGCTCCAGTGCAGTAAACCCCAGAAAGGGATGGAGAGAGCAGCTCTTGAACCCCATTTAAGCTGGAAGTCCTCCATCATTCTTGTGGTTGTTCTCCCAAGGACTCTGCCCACCCAAGCTCTTTCCAGGTGTTCTGTCACTAAATAAACTTGCTTCTCTTTACCTAGACATAGTTTTGAATTCTTTCATGGTCATAGTCAGGGACTGAGGAATACCAAAGTCCTAGGAACACCAAAACCCAATAATATTGTACAAAATAATATTATACAACTGGACACCTTTTTATAAAAGAAGTTGCTTTGTGCAAAATGGGAGCACTTCACTTTTATTCCACCTTTTTCCTTTGTTATACAGAAAGATGCTCCTCTCCCCTCCTGTGTGAGTACCCTCCTGTTTCTTCAGAGAAGGCAAGGCTGGCAATTACCTTTTTGGGGATTTTATCACACCACACCCACCACTGAAGCACCCATCGTCCTCTCACATAATCCATGGGGCCCCCTTTCCCTTTGCTCCCCACACCCACCATCCTTCTCTGGTAATCTCAGTTCTGCAGTCAGATTTCAGTTTGTTTTGTCCACTCCTTGTTTTTGTTTCTTTATATGCCACATACTGTTATCATAGTTTGGGGTCTGGCCACTTGTGGCTCACAAGCCAAACCTTGAGAAGAAACTTGTAGAAGAAAATCAGACTTAGTCAGGAGTTGGTATCCCACGGAAATGGTGGACAACTGTTTCAAAGGCCAAAACTGGGGAGAGGTCGGGACTTATCTGAGTGCGTAAGAATGAAGAGGAGAGGCTAAAGGTCTGCATTTATAGTATTTCAGAGAAATGGGGGGGGGAG